CGAACTTTTTTTATGCATTTTTTTTTATAGAATAGGGGGCAAACGAGCATGCGGCTCACCTGATGGTAAGTGACTACTGCCGCCCATGAAAAACCGCAACACCAGGGGAATTGCAGATGCGTTGCCGGTCTTTTAGAAAGGTGTAAGCTCTTTTCTTGAAGGTTCCTAAGTCGTATCGGTTCGGAAAATTCGCTGGTGGTAATTGCATGAACGATTTCGAACTGTTTCAAGCAAAAGCAAACCTTATACCATATCACAAGAGCACATGGTACTTCGTAGGTCTATTCGGCCATATGATAGTAATAAGACGGCAGTTCAACCATTTTAAGCAAAATTAAACAATAAGACAAACGCATTGTTTCTTTTAACAGGAGACTTGTTTTCCAGAAATTTATTTACAACTTTAGTTTGTGAGCGATCGCAATGAGTGCTATTATTTGTTACTTATTAAAACAATTTTTCCACAACATGATTTAAAGTAAAAACCCACGAAGTAAAAATAGAACCATGTACACGTTAAAAGGTTGTCAACCCCTAAAAATTTCAAATTTTCAAAATATCCAGAAACGAAGCTGCATGCATGAACTACTCGCAAAATAATGAATATTTTGTTCTGGATAAATTTTCCAAAAAACCAATTTGAGCGAGTTATAACGATTTTTAAAAAGACACGACTCGCGTGTCATACGCCACACACAAAAGTAATCTATGGCACGCCTGGCGTGTCACTCGCACTGAACCGGTTAAATATTTATTTTATAAAAAGAAATGTTTTATCCCTACAGAAAGAAAACTGAAACTTTATGAGCTGTTTAAACAATGCCCAGTGTCACCTGTTGGTGACACCCCTATAAAAATAAGTGGGGGTAGTTGCCTTATTTTTATAATTTTTTAAAGAAAGTATTATTCTTTTGACAAACATAGGCATGGGAATTGAAGAGTTAAAGACTTATGGCCAAAAATGTTTTTTCCTGAATCCCTCAAAGTACTATATTTTTGCATCTTTTTTTGGGAAAAATTACTATATTTGTTCAAAAAACAAACAAAAGGTGGCAGCCCTATCTCACACCGAGAATAAGTTGTTAGGTCTAGATACCATGCCATATCCTCCAAAAAAAAAGAATAAGTTGTTCTCAAAAGTACTTTATAAATAATAAGGCAAGGAAAATGAAACAATTAAATTTACGCAGTTTTTTTTAATAAAATAAACGCATACAGTAGAACAACAATGCTTTATATAATTACAAATTGAATATCATGGGATATATTAAATGTTGTTACATAAAACGGAAACAATACACAAAAAGCTACTTAATATGTAATTACAAACCTATTTGTTTGAAACTTTCGATTTTTGTCGAATGGGACATTAGCTAAAACTATTTTTGCTACATGAAAGTATATCTGGGTCTAGTATAAGACCCAGATATATAATAATATTTGATTTATTAACTTAAACAAGCTTACTAAGGTTTTTCAATTTGAGATTAAAATTATGATCATCATAGGCGAGACGACTATATGAAATGCCAAACATCTTATCTCCTTCAAAAGATGGCTGTTTAATAAACTCTTTACGGTATGAACAATTTATTTACAGGTTCTATAGAAATACTTTCTTGAAAATGGCATTAAAAAGGAAGGAAAAATTAATAAAGGATTTATTACAGTCAGGAATAATGAAATATTAAAAGAAAATTGTATTCAAAGTATGTATTCAAAAACGCGGGTAGTTTAACATATGGTTTGAAAATTGGGTTCAAATACCCTCAATGGTTATAAAATAAATGTGAAAAAACTACGTATATAACTACGTATACATCAAATAGGCAAGACGGCGATGGCTTTGAGGACTGATGTTATAAAAGACATTTGAATAAAAATCAGTGTCGGATTTATAGGTACTATGGATTAGGATAGATAGTCACGAATCATTTTTCAAAAACTGACTGAAACAGACTCAAAAAATAACTGGTTAGGTAATATAAATATATTTAGATATCAGTAATTGTGTATATTTTCCTAATAAATTTCTTAGCAATCAATTAATACTATTTTAAACATTTCGTAGTGTGGGCCAGTTTTGAAGTCTGTTTTCATTTCTTTGAAAAAAAAACAATTACTGTATTAATAATATAGAAAATATAAAAATCGACCGGTTTAGCCTCACGGCATCATCAGGCATCAATCTTTATACTGGAAATGAGGCATTCCATCTTAACCCTCAGGGGTGACAACGCATCTGCATTTTGATTCTTAATCGAGGATAAATGTAGATATCTATAAGCCGAAGCACCCATATTCTAAAAACAAAATACACACCGGAGAAAAACCTTACTCGTGTAATATTTGTGAATATAAATGTATTACAAAAAGTTATTTGCAAACAGATGAAAGTACATAACGGAGAAAAATCTCTAATAAGATTCTTCTCCGGTATGTATTTTCATATGTTTACAAATAACTTTTTGTAATACATTTATATTCACAAATATTACACGACTAAGGTTTTTCCCCGGTGTTTATTTTTATGTATTCTCAAAATAGTTTTTTGTATATGACCAGCGCCTACGCCGTGGTACGTGAGGCGGGGTCTGTGTGGCTCTGATAGAATTCTTGTCAACAGCATGTGCACTGCACACTGCACCTGCAGTGGCGCCTGCGCATTAACTACTTGTTTTGTTTGTATAAAACAGACGGACCAACAAGTTATTGTATTCCGCTACTAGCTCATCCATGACACATTGCATAATTAACTCGTGCGGACGAATGAATTATTGTTCTCAACTACAAAATGAGTCTCAGTAACAATTTATAGTTGATTAGCTCTGTTCTTAGCAGTGTGATCTGTGCATTTCATAATTGTATAAAGTGATATATTGTGATCTTATTTAAAAACAAAAGCCCCACTGGGTTTCTTGCTGGTCCTGGGATTTGTGTCCCCATTTATATTCACAGATATTACACGAAAAAGAGTTTTTTCCATTATGTATTTTCATATGTTTTCAAATTACTTTTTGCAACGCAGATATTACACGAAAAAGGTTTTTCATCGGGGTGTATTTTTATGTGCCTTTTCAAATAAATTTTTTTGTACACATTTACAAATATTATACAAAAAAGACTAACAGTGTGCATTTTTATGCTTTCTCAAAGTACTTTTTGTATACATTTATATTTACCGATATGACGCGAAAAAGGATTTATATTTACAGATGTTATACGAAAAAGGCTTTTCACCAGTGTGTATTTTTAAGCGTTTTCTAAAAGTAGTAGTACGTAGTCTTTTGTATACATTTATATTCACAGATATGACACGAAAAAGGGGTTTCTTCAGTATGCATTTTCATGTGTTTGCAAACTATCTTTTATAATATATATTTATATTCACAGATATTACACGAAAAACATTTTTCTCCAGTATATATTTTCATGTGTTTTTAAATTTCTTTTTGTAATACATTTATATTCACAAATATGATACGAAAAAGGTTTTTTAACGGTGTGTATTTTTATATGATCTTTCAATTAAACATTTTTATATGTTTATATTTACAGACATGACATGAATAATGTTTTTCTCCAGTATGTATTTTCATGTGTTTTCAAACTACCTGCTGTAATATATTTTATATTCATAGATATTACACAACTAAGATTTTTTTCCAATATTAAACATTACTAATATTCCCTTTAACCACTTCTGGTAAGCTTAAAATGCTTGTGTTAGAAGTGGTTCACGACAGTAGTCGAATGGCGGATTTGAACCCACGACCTTTAGAGTTCACGGTCCGCACCCCTGCCATTAGGCTACTGACGCTTCAATGAAAATGTTCACATATATTACACGAAAAATGTTTTTCTGCGGTATGTATCTTCATGTGTTTGCAAATTACTTTTTGTAATACATTTATATTCACAGATATGACACGAATAAGGTTTTTCTCCAGTATGTATTTTCATATGTGTTTGCAAATTACCTCTTGTAATTTATTTATATTCACAGATATGACACGAATAAGGTTTTTCTCCAGTATGTATTTTTATGTGTTTGCAAACTACCTCTTGTAGTAATATTCACAGATATTACACAAATAAGATTTTTCTCCAGTACGTATTTTCATATGCGTTTGCAAACTACCTCTTGTAGTATATTCACAGATATTACACGAAAATGGGCTTTCTCCGTTATGTTATGTTTGCAAATACTTTTTGTCATACATTTATATTCACAGATATGAAACAAGTAAGGCATTTTTTCACCGGCGTGAATTTTGATGTATCTTCTCCAAGTAGTCTTTTGGTATACATTTATATTTACAGATATTGCAAATTACTTTTTGTAACATGTTTATATCCAGTTGTAACACGAATAAGGTTTTTCTCCGGTACGGATTTTTTTATTCGCAAATTACTTATTACACGAAAACGGGTTTTTGTCTGTTATGTATTTTCATGTGTTTGCAAATTACTTTCTGTAATAAATTTATATTCACAGGTATTACACGAAAAAGGTTTTACACTGGTGTGCATTGTTATGTGCCTTCTTAAATTAGTATTTTGTATAAATTAATACTCACAGATATTATGTGAAAAATGTTTTTCACCTATGTGTATTTTGTTTTTTCTAAAAGTAGTTTTTTTTGTATATGTATATTCGTTTGTACACAGATACATAATGGGTATTTTATATGAACTTTCAATTGAACATTTTGCATACTACTACTCGGTAACATTACCTAGCTAGGTAGCATTAACAGATTTGATTGCTATGCAATTTATAAGGAATTACTGATAAAAAAATTCTTACAGTGAGGCAATTAAGAGTTAAAGGAGTTAACTACAAATGACATACTTCACCGTCACATCTGTTATCAGTCTATAAAAGTAGCAATAAATATAATAAGGAAAAGGGAAGAAAATTGTTAGATCGTGGCATCTAGAGTGGGTGGGCACGGCTCGTGTGCGGGCGGTGTGTGCGGTGCGTGCGGTGCGGGCGGTCAGTCGGCGAGGTGCAGCGGCGCGGCGGGCGGCGGGAAGCAGCGGATGTGCTCGACGCCGGCGCGCTCGTCGTCCGCCACCAGGTGGCGCGCCAGCACGCCGAAGATCTGCGAGTTCAGCACCTGGAACCGCCGGATGCGGTCCACCATGCGCTTCAGCGGCTGCAAGTTCAATAACAAGAGTTCCCATTATGTTCCAAAGTAAAAATAACACCGAACACGCAATCCACCTGATGGTAAGTGGATGCTGTGGCCCATAGACACCTACATTTATCCTCGGTTAAGAATCAATATGCAAAAATGCATTCTCACCCCTGAAAACCATGATGGAATGCCTCAGTATCACACCCTATAATATAAGTCGCCCGCCGAACATAGGCCTACCATATTGATTACTTAATAGGGGACATATTTGTCATAGTTTTTATAACGTGGCAAAGCCATGCTGCAGCTATTAGTAATATAGTAGCAGCATGAATGGGTCGGCTCGACCGGGAAAATACCACGCTCTCACAGAACACTAGCATAAAATAGCAGCTTAATGCTGCTATGTTACGTATGGTGAGAATAGAGAACTGAAGACCCTTTTTACTAGAAACAAAGCATTCCATCTTAGTCCTCACGAGTGACAACAACACATCTGCATTGTGATATGTAAACAAAGATAGATGTAGATGTCGTCTATGGGCCACAGCAACCACTTACCATCAGATAGACTGTGTACACGTTTGTCACCCTTATCCTATAAAAAACGTTTTATGTGCCAAAGATAGTCAATATAGATCGACTTTGTGTAAAAAAGCACGTCTGTATTCCAGCCACCTTACCAGAAGAGGAAAATAGAGAGAGTTGTACTTTTCCAAAGACAGGTCATCGGAAGAAGACAACAAGCGGCGGTTGGCAGTTTTGATCGCTACAAAGTATTTTGTTTATCGTGAAAAAATCCTCATGGATACCTTTTGGTCAACCGAAAGGTTATGCCGGACTCCTACCGGCTAAAGCCTTATTATAGTCTCCATCGTCATATACGAATCTGACGTAACCCATCTTTATTCCCGCAAGGCGGATATGTATAGAACAAACTAAAATAAAATAAAACGTAATGCTCGACGTGCACAGTCAAGCATTACTTACATTGAAGCCAAATAATACAATGATTTTTTTTGATGGCTACTATTTATAACTATAAACTTACTATTCCTTTAACCAATTCGTCTTTTCCATCAACACGTTGAACACGCAGAATGTGATAACAGAAATCCAGGGCTTCGAAGCGACGCTGCTGACCCAAAAGCGCTATAATGGTGCAACCAGCCCAATGAAGGCCCTCACCAAACAATTCTCTGTGGACAATGAACACTTTGGTAATATGTGTGGGTGTTTAGTTTCATAATATTACTTTATGGTCTAATTTAATAGACAACCTATTTACACTTTCATTTACTTAATTACTATTATAAGAAGATCGTCTTTAAAAAAGACAACCTTTTTAAGAGATTTTCAATCGCTTCACAATCTTTTCTAATCCAATATTTAAATTAATAGTTTTAGTGTCAAGTAATTGTATAATAATGTATAAGTGTCATCAACTCACTCAACCGTGAACTGTGTATCACCAACAGGAATACAGTACAGGAACTGAAGGGCAGACCATAACCTAAATAGAAAAAATGTGAGTATTATATCACAAATTCAGAGAATTGATATAAAAAAAGTTAATTAATGTATAATCAAATATCATTATATATCAGTACAGCCTTTTACAAGTCTATTGCTGAACATAGGCTTCCCCCAAGGAATGCCACCAAGCAGTCCTGGAATAATTTTATAGCAGACCCATTCGTGCTACGTGTGGCTCCACCATGTATAAAATTATATGTGGTAATATTGTGTGTCAACCCATTGATAATTATTTTATTAGTTTGTGGCGACTTACGCCTGCCATTCACGATCAAGTTTACCATCTAGTTTGCAGTGTACTTGACGCTTGATGAAGTTAGCAGATCGTCCACATGGACTACTCACAATCAAGTTTACCGTCAAGTTTGCATGAAGCCGTCTAGAGGATACCATGGTGTGACTGATGACTGACAACGAAGCATGAGCCATCGTAGGACTATTCCTTGTAATGAAGAAAACATCATACAAAGTTGTGATGTTGGAAAGTGTTAATGTGAGACGTGTGTCTAATTCTAGACTATATAAAATACAATAAAAAAATTCCTTGTGGGTTTCACTACAGAGTGGTGTAAAAACTGGTAATTGAAAAGGAATTAGTTCAATTGCTTCAAATAGACTTACCAATAAGTACTAGGTTAGACATGTAAACTGATAACCATTCATGGTCAAGCATACTTAAAATGTATATGAAACTTGTTCATGTAGAGTACATTATCTTAGGCTAAGTTCACATGTAATGTGTGTCAACGCGCGATCACTTGTGTCTAGACTTTTCTCTGAGCGCTGCGTTAACGAGCAGCGCATGTGATCGGTTGTTAGGTAAATATTAGGATGTCCAGACGTCAAAATGTTGGCATGTGAATATGTATGATGTTGGCGTGGCCTCAGGTAGAGTGTGCACCTGTGGAACTCGCTGGTGTCGTCGGTGTGCAGCGGCGCGTGCTGCGGCGCGGCGGGCGGGCTGGGCCACTGCGGCGCCGCGAGGCAGGCGCGCAGCCGCCGCAGCACCACCGAGAACAGCGACAGCCCGCAGCACAGCCGCTCGCGGGTCAGCAGGTCGCCCTCGCGCGCCAGCTGGCTTTGCTGCTCAACACCAACAAAACTTCATTTTCACGATTTTTTTAACGTCAAAACCAAACACTGCTCAATTTTAAGATGACTTTGACTTAAAGCAACAGAGACCAGAACAAGACTTAATGGAATCTTAAAATTGAGTTGCGTTTGAATATTTACGCATTATTCTTATACATAATGTAAATTTAGTCTTGTGAAATTTAAAATCTAAACTTGTTTTGAAAACAAGATCTCGAAAAAAATCCTACAAAGAACTCATACTCTTTTTAAATTTCTAAGATCATTTACCACGAATTTTAATATTTTCAACGTAAAATTGTAGAACTGCTGTGTGTTAGTATGGTGAGTGTAAGGAAAGGAGGCATTCTATTTTAGAAGTGACTACACATCTGCATTTTGATTCTTAATCGAGGAGAGATGTAGACATCTATGAGCCACAGCATCCATTTATTATCAGGTGCACCACTATGTACTCATTTGTCACACTTATATTAAACAAAAAAATTATAATCAAATGTGCAATTTCCACAGACCAAGAAATCGAGCAGTCACTGTCTATCTCAGAAAACACCTGAAACGTTGGAAATTAAAAGGAAGTCAAGTTAATTTACCCAATAATAATAACCGTAAAATTAATTTTGTTCAATATCTAGTATTCGTGCAAATATAAAAAAAAAACATCATAGGAAAATGTTGACTTGTGGACTTACAGAATATAAGGTGTGTAAGGTCTCACACTGTGAGCTTACCTTTGCAGTGCCATATTTGTCAACATTTTGTACTATCTGCAGTGCTGCGTATTTCGCTTCTAGACGCTTTTGCTTCACTTCAGGCTTTTCCCCATCTGAATTAAAAGAATTACTACTTGTCATTGTACTAAAAACAAATGTTATATAAACAATGAGTATTAAATTAATAGAATCAGGCGTTACTTTACGGAAACCCATTATATTAAAGTTAGAAAAATTTATTTTACCAATATCTGTTCAATAAAATAAAATGATGTGTCTTATCTAGTTTCAAGCCCTCCGTAAATTGCGTGCACTATCCCCATCACTACTAATAATTAATAAATATAAATAAGTAGTAACGGGGATAGTGCACGCAATTGAGGGAGGGCTTCTAATTAGGTAAAACACATCATTCTATTTTATTGAGTGGATATTGGCAAAGTAAATTTTACAAATTTAATAAAGTGAGTATCTTCATAACATTTGAAGAGACTATTTGTTACATTTTGTAATAATGTTTTAATAAAAAAATATTAATCTTTACACTGTTCCAACAGTTTAACTTCTCTGCTATGAGATCTGCCAAATATTTCACCTCATTCTTAAGTGACGCCGGCCTGGTTTCAGAAAAAGTTGTGGAATCCCACACTGCTGACCTATCCACTACTGAACGTAGATCATAGATCGTTATATGATGAAATTTGCCATCTTTGCCACACTTGGCAGACTGGTTAACAACTGCAGTTTATTTTTATTTTTAGATATTATAAAGATTACGTTGTCGCCCTCCCGGTTTGTTTCAATCTGTCGCCTCTTACGACACCCACAGAACGATATGAGGTAATAGGTATTCTTACACCGCCACTTCATGGTTTTTTCACGGTTGCCCAACAAACACGGCCCCTCAAAGTAACTCCAGATTGAAGCTCCTATATTGTTTGTTTGTAGGTGCCAGTGCACTGAAAGTGTGCGAAAGATACACTGAAGGTGCAATTGTATGATCTAGGTGCAAATACTACTTTACCTGCAGTATACGGCCGCGGAAGAATATTCTGGAATGGTGCAGCGTGAAGTAAGTCTGTTACTTCTTCTTGACTCAGGGCCTGAAACAAAATGGGTATAATTAGATAGGTATTCGGAGACAATCGTTAAGTTTAAGCTCACAACTCCTCAAGTGTTAATAATTGAGTCTCTCTAGACTATACAATGTTACACATATTTTGACGTGGACGTTTTTAACGTGGTAGAGCCATGCTGCAGCTATATTTCGGGTATAGTTATAGCAGGAATGGGTCGGCTCGACCAGGGAAGGACCACGCTCTCACAGAATACCAGCTTAATACTGCTGTGTTTCGTATGGAGAGTGTAGAGAACCGGAGACCCTTTTTACTGGAAAAGAGGCATTCCATCTTAGTCCTCACGGGTGACAACACATCTGCATTTTGATTCGCAAACAAGGATAGATGTATATGTCTATGGGCCACAGATACCACTTACCATCAGGTGGACTGTGTGCTCGATTGTCACCCTACCCTATATAAAAAAAAATTGACATTATGAAAGAATTTAAACTGATGATTGTCGCTGGATAAATGAAGGCAGTCATTCTACAACTTATCATTTAAAAAAATATATATTAAGTAATCACTTAAATGTTGTGAGTAAGTTTGACAAAGATATATCCGGTTTGTAGAGGACCTTTTCTTCTAATATTTAATGCATAAACTTAACAAAACGACTGCGTGGCGAATGTTCCATGTCTTTGACAGCCTAGTCTACATTCAAACTTATCGCCTTACATCACGATTTGAGTCAACGCGTACAATTGCGATACTGTTATATTGGAAGAAGATCATTATCAAGGAATCTTTTCATCAGTCACTTATGGCAATGCTACATAGGTCTCCCGTTTAGAAGTTTAGGTTTAGGTCCTGTTTAGTTTAGATAGGAGAAGACGCAATGTTAAGCTCTGTATGACTGTCACAATTTGGTAGTAATGATTCTATTCTGAGAATAAGGGTGACCAAACAAGCACACACTCTTGGTTGGATTGGTTGATGCTGTGGCTCATAGACATCTCTCTATGATTCTTTCTTTTTATTTTATTTGTTTTCTTGGTGTACAAAAAAGGGTATTGTACTGTAACCTTGAAAATATTTTCAAAACTATTTTTTTTAAAACTATACCTGTTCGATCAGCATACAGAATAGTATGATGTTGCCAAGTTCTCGGAAAGCATGGAAAAGCTCCGTTCGGGCATCTGGGTACTGCACAATATCAGTCAGTTGGGCGTGATAGTAACCAAGGACACCTGAAAGAATAATCCTAAATTAGTATGAACTTCGTATTACACGAGAAAAACAGATTAGGATAAAAGCGTAAAGGAATCTAAGACTAAATCACGCGATCGCAATTTCGGCTCCCCAGGTTACACCTAGCTTGCAGATCTCCCCGCCTTACTTCCATGTGAGGACTATTATAGAGATGGAGTCACAATATTACCCCTCCGCACTATAGATGATTTTTATGTATACCTAATAGTAAATGGACGCTGTGATCCAGACACCAACAATTATCCCCCATTGAGAATAAAAAGGCCGATTACTTGCAATCCATGAGGAATAAGATGGCATGCCTCGTTACAGGTAAAAACAGTGTCCAGTTCTCGTCAATCAGCTTAAGAAACACAGCAATATCAAATACCAGCTGTATTGGTATTGCTTGCGCTGTTGTGCTTCGTTCCTGAAGGGTATATATAGCGACAGTATAGGCCTTTCATCTTAGTCCTCATTGGTGACAACACGAGTCAATGGGCTGCAGTAGCCACTCGCCATCAAGTGGACTGCAAGTTCATTTGTCACTTCAGTTTTATAAAAAAAAAGTAACTTACAATTAAGTGAACTAGACCTGTTTGCCTGATCTTTAATTTACTGTTAAAAGATTACACAAAGACTTGTAGGTGAAGTCACAAGGCTCCAATGAGAATCAGCGCTGTTGCTTTTGACATAATGCTGAGATATCATTAATATGCAATTACGGTATCACATTTTTAATGATATTTCTATTTTATTTTTGAATTTATAAAGCTCAGTTGAAACTACGCTATAATTTATTTTTATATAGATATAATTTTTCTCTGTGTGTTTGTTATTGAACTCCCTGATTTTGATAACATTATATGTGTTTTAGTGGGTGGTTGGTTTAGCTTCACAATTGGTGCTGTTGTTGAAATCCAGAGATAACTCATGCGAAACGGGGACAGATTGCTAGTAGAATATAAAGTAAATATCATATAGCACAACAAAATCTGTCAGCATTAATTTATATGGACATTTTAGACTATGATATTGGATTGCTTGTTTACAAAGTAATGTGGAATAAAATAAACCAGAATAATATAGCGGTAGTCTGAACTGAGCTATGCATTTTTCCCCTTTTTGTAAACAATATTTTTATATATTATTGTTTTGAAATGTGTGTATCAAATAAAAAAGAAGCGTGTAGTGGTGGTGTTAAAATATCCACTATCCAATATCGTTTTGTGGGTGTATTAAGAGACGACAGAAGGGAACAAACCAGGAGATGAGCAGCAGCGTCTTCCTAGTAACTAAGAACTACGGATGGCAGCGCGCTTGGCGTGCAGTTAGTGTGTGGTTGTGTGCGATACCGTTGGAGCCGTAGTCGTAGCGCGGCAGCTTGCAGTGGCGCGGCATGGCGGCGTGCAGCGCGCGCGTGAACTGCGCCAGCGCGCCGTGCAGCAGGCCGCGCGCCACGCCCAGCAGCTCGCCCACCACCACCGCCACGCCCTGGTAGCCCAGCAGCCGCACCAGGGCGTGCAGGTGCACCGCGCCCACGAACCCTACGGACAACCATCACCTCATTTAAATCTACACCGACTGGCCAACTGCATTATTCATACCAAGTCTAAGACATCTGAAAAGCAGGCGGTAGGTAACCTTAACCTTTCTATTAAACTCAAGTCAAGAAAAAATTTATACTGGATTTATAAAGGATGTTGGTTGCAAACCTAAGTTGTCAGCGCGATCGCAATCGCGGCTGACCTTACGGCGGTGACAGCTTTGATGAAACTAGGTGATTGAAACCCCCAAGAATATTGTTCTTATTGCAGCCGCCCGCCGTGATTGTTTTGTTTATTGTTGTGAGAGCGACCAATTTTGAAAGTGGTTGCTTGAACATGGCAGTCTTGCTTCTCAGACTGACTACTCTTATTTTCCCGTCTGGATCCAGATGTGTACCTATCACTTCTGCCATTAACCATGTTGTTGTAGGAAGGGATGGAACCTTCACTATAACAATATCTCCTATCTCTGGTGCATACGTCTAATTTTGTCACTTGTGGTGCTGTTGTAGAGTATGTAAATACTCAGGGCTCCATCGTTTCCAAAAATGAGCTGTCATGCATTGTTCCATCTTTCTAATGGAGTGAGCGGTAAGTTGTGTGGAGTATCAGCAACTAAAGGTTCACCAATCAAGAACTGTGATAAAGTTAATGCACCAACATTATCTGGGTGATCATTTAATCCACAAATTGTCTTCAATCTGTGCAAGTCTTTGATAAATGAGTCTTTGCTGACTTCACCCCTGCTTCCCATGGACCTCCAAAATTAGGAGCCCGTGGGGAAATGAAATGCCATGTGATTCCATCATTAGCCAAGACCTCTGGATTTTGAGCCTCTAAGGACTCTCAGCATTGGTTACATAAGAAGTCCAGTTCTTTAGCTGCACCAAAAAGTTTATTTATTTATTACATAATTATAACGTCATTACAGTTATATTAACCAATACAATGTTAAAATTAACCAAAATATAAGAAAACTACCGACATAAATAATGACTATAAAATAATAAATAATAATATTAACATGGTTATAAAATAAAATATACTAATTTACCATAAAGTTAGTACCATTATCACTCCATAAATGAAAACAATGTCCTCTGCAAACCACAAGTCTGCTATAAAACCTTGGCTAGACAGATCACTCACAGCTTCCAAGTGAATTGCCTTAGTTGCAAAGCAAATAAATGATAGGCATATTTAACCCTTATAGGAATTGAGGCATCAACACTTCCAAGCTTTAATTCATATGGGTCCAGCATAATCTACACCACTGACTTCAAAGTGGCTGCCATTGTGGATACCTGGTTCTTTGTTTTACACAAATAACAAATTCATGTATCACCTTCCTGACAAGAGATTTCAAGCCTTTAAACTAGTATTTTGATCTAATATAGTTAGTGGTCAGCAGATTACCCCACGTGTTTCAACAAGTGTGCATCCTTGACAACTAACATAGTCAAGTGCAAGTTTTTGGGCATAATCATAGGATGTTTAATTTTATGAGACACCTTGGTGCCTTGCAATTGTCCTCCAACTCTGAGCAAATATCTTCTTTTAAGTAGGAAGATAGTGATCTTAGTTTACTTTTTTGTTTTAATTGATTTTTACTCTTCAAGTATTTTATTTCTTCGCTTAACTGTTTAAAGTTTCCTGTTGAAGAATGTTTAGTTTCCTTTAATTCTAAAGCTGATAAAATCTATCCCAATTTCTGCCACCCTGATTCACAGAAACCTCAGCCACATTTTAGGACACAGGATTTCTTCAAATTCCTGTGGCTGTGGTTTCTTTGCTGTAATGTTGTCTAAAACTTCATCAGAATTGCTTGACCATTTTTGTAGCTCGAACCCTCCACATTCTAAAAGTTGTGTTGTCTATAAATTTCAACAGCTTCAACGACAGTTTAGCAACCAGACAACTGACCATACCCATCATTTGATTGTCCATGTAAAAAGAGACCTTAACTATTTCTACATAAAGGGGGTACCTTCGACCTTCATCTTCGACTTATGTAAGTAATGTATGCACTGCAAGATATGAAGCAGATGCTGTCCCAAAAGTCACCATTAGTAATTTGTACATTTTGCATTTTTCTTTTTTTTTATTTATAAAATTACGCTGGTATTCAGCATGTTCATCAGATACAAGTACCTGTCTATACATTTTTTCTATGTCACCAACCAAGACAATTTTGTGTTTCCTCAATTTCATTAGCAAAACCCATAGATTACTTTGCAGTAGACCCAACTATTGATACTCTATTGTATTCTTCTACAAATTTCTGGTTACTTGTTAACCTTCTTTCCAATTCTGGAAACTGAGCAGTTGCCATTTCTGTTGATTTTCCACACCTTTCTACAGGAGTTTTAATTTTTTCTTTAAATGGTAAGTTTACCTTTTTGTTTTATAGATTTCTTTAAACCTTTCTTCTGCTTTTGTTTTTTTTCGGTCTGATGTGGAGAACTAATTCTGCATTTCCCAGAATTGCCTTGGCATGTTGTTTTCACACAAACAAAAATGCATGCTAACAATTCTATTATTTTCCATTGTATTAGTGTCGCCTGAAATTATTAATCCTAGTTCAGTCTTCTGTGCTAATGTATCAACTGGACTTCTAAACATACCATTCCTCATAATCTTGCTGGTCTCACTGGCCCCTAAGCAGCATATAAATTAGGCCTGGCTTTTTAAAATAAGGATCTGCTAGTGTAATTATATATATCGAACTTTGACCAATTCGACAATGTGAAATGTAACTAATTACAAATTAATGCTCCCACCTATAAAGTGGAGTTTATGTTGTATCTTGATTTCAATTCAAATTCCACAGTGCATTTGGAATGTAGTCTTTCTTTAATTTAAGTGGAACTTGGTATTGGTTTTACATCGCATCAAACCAGTAGCCTGAATGAATTCTTCAGACACAAGCAAGCTTTGTGAGCTCCAGTCAATGAGTGCATGGTAGACTAGTATTTGTCCTGTTTGATGCAACGTCTACTAGTACTATAGCTAATAATACTTGACCAGGGTTGTTTGTAAAGTGTTACTCTAGTCTTTGGATTCAGAGATGTGGCTTTTAATGTCTAATTTGGAGACAGTATGTTGATGGCATTCCATGAATCAGTTGGCAATGCTAAATTTTTAAAAGTATTTAAAATACTTTTGTTGTCACCAGGAGTTGTTTAATATTTTGATGAGATTCAGTCATTAAGGTTTTTAAACTGAATAATAACTTTGAATAAAACTATGTGTTTAATTTACTTATTTTTAACTTCCGATATTTCGAGCACTTTTCAGCACCCATGGTCACGAAGTGTTTGACGTTGCAATGTCATAGTTAACCACGGCTACCTCCAGATAAAAATTATTAATTTTTGTTCCAATCAATGCAGTATGAACTTATGTATCTTGAATAACTTCTTAAAAATGCAGTTAGAAATAGATCTTTTGTTGTTGTACCTATTATGAAGTCTCCCATGCTTGTGAATTGTTTTGACTTGTTATAGTAATGTTATTTAAGAGAAGATCTGCTTCTCCACTAAAGCTTACTTTCAAATAATGAAGCCTTTGCATATCATCCAATCTTGTCTAGTTGTGAATTAATAAATATTATACGAAAAATATGCTATACCTACCTTTTCTCTTTTTCTTATCCACATAACCTACAATTTAATGACCATGATTGAAAGACATCCAGATTTGTTCTAAATTGTCTAACCGAGTTTCCTAAATAATTTTTCGTCAATCTACTTTGTTGAAATCCATTAGAATAAAAGAGGAAACTTCTAGAATTTTTTCCAAGATATTAAAAGGTGACAAGTTTTGAAAAGGCGGGTAATTAAATTTCGAGTCAGTTATTATAATATTACACCAAAGACTTTCTATTTTTATTTTGCTAAAGCACTAGTTATCTTCGTCTTTAAACATTTAAGAGGTCTTTTAAATAGTTTTCTATAGTTTAATTTACTTTTATAGTTATGATGTACCACGTGCAGCGCACTTACGATACTTTTTACCGAATTACATCACTAATTCATTACAATGAACACTAATCATAACAACAAACACTTTTGTCTTTGAGTATAATTAATCCAACGCAAAGAACCAAATATTAGTCCAAAAGATTCAGTTTAAGAAAAATATGAAATTTCCAACTCACCTGTACCGATGTTAGATGCAAAAGAGTCAAAGTCAAAGTGAAATTCACTTAGTGAATGAAATCAAGTAGGCTTGGCTTAGGAAAAAAATATCGATATCTTCTCAAAATATCTATATCGTCGATATTTTAAATCGCGATATATCGATATTTGTTTTAGAGTATCGAATTCATATCAATTTCGATATATTTTAAAATATTGTATTAATGACAAAACATGACACAACAAAAGGAGCTACAAAAGCATTTATGTGGGGGTTGGATGGTTGTCGATTTTTTTTTCGTCTTCCAACCGTCACTAATATAAAATTTTGGACCTTTTCCTTACATCATGCAAATGATGACGATATATCGATATTTATCCTGCGATATATATCATGATATTTAAAAATATTGATCCGATATACCAATCCGTACTGGTTCACATAATGATTTCTTATATTATTTACGCGAAGACTAGACATTAAATGAAACTAATTTTTACGGATTTTATCGCGTTTAATTTAACTTTTTAACTCCCGACGTTTCCATGGGTGCTGCAAAGCACCCGAAACGTCGGGAATTAAATTAGCCAATAAAATCCACCGATTAGAAGATCTTAAAACAAAACGCGCAAGATATATAACATGTTTAAAATTCTTGAAGTGATACAGAGACCATAATCTCATTCCTACGTGTGTCAAAATATCAACAAAAAAGGACATTCGCGGAAGCGCTAAGATCTTAAATCAGGCAAGTAAAAGGTTGTTACGAACGGTGATTCCATATACCATAGACAATTTTACCAGTGAGTTAAAGGCAATTTTAACGACATTTGATTTTAATAATTGCATTGAAACTTTAA